GAAAGTCCAATTTATTCATTCTTCTTTAGTCACAATTTACCTTTGTTAATTATTCGTCTATTAACCTTGACTGTTTTTATATGAGCGTATGTGTATACACCTCTTATCTCAATTCATCACGCCTGTAACTTATTTCTATCCGAATAACGCTTTATTAAATCAAGTTGGCTCACATGCCTTCTCCATCACTCATCATTTCGTTTCGCTTCGTTCCTTTGATTGTCTGCCTGGATCAATGATTGTACAAAATATACATATTCGAAATCCTTTCTTGTTATTCACTAACGCGAGATAATTATATACGAGGATTGGTGATATGTATATTTGATTAGTGATCAACATATGATCTAAGGGGTAAGACCGTAGATAACATTGTCTGATCTAATTGGAGTCAAAATGAAGGGCCCAAATCAAAACTTAAGCAGCTTAATTTCTCAATACAAATTATTAGATAATCAATTATAAACTGAATAATTTATAACTATTAACCAATATAAACACAATCGATAAATAAACAAGCGTTAAGAGAGAGATTAGGCAATAAGTGATAATGTGAAATCGATCTCTAAATTTGTTCGTCTTCTACCTTTACTTCACTTGTGTTTGTAGAGCATAGATGGAGCGAGTCTAATAGTTGAATACAGGATATTATTTTCGTCTTATTTCGGAATCATCAGCAACATGTACCTGCATCTCACAGTTGATGTCCCCTCCAAGACTATATCCGGTCTGTATCAAGACAATCCATAAAAGATGCACATATGTCAACCAAGACTGATTAAATTTCAGTCAAAAATATCAACAATTAAATAATTCAAACTGTTTCAGCCTGAATTCACTTGGTGTTGTTTTACATGTATCTTTCAATTGTTATTTAGGACTGCAATTGATCGGTCTCTTAGGACATATGTGCATCCAGTGCATATTGGGTCGATATAGACTGAAGTCACAAGCTTTTTTATTCAAAGATGCATAATGGCTAGCAGAGGAATCCAGTTTGACTCGCGTTTTGCCCTACCTAGGCAATCTACAGAGGATGCGCATACATCATGATCAATTGTAGTCCTAAATAACAATAGGAAGATACAAATAAAACAACACCAAGTGAATTTAGACTTCACCCTGTTGCACAAGTAGGTGGCTATCAAGACTCAGTAGCTAAATGGCATTTGAAGTTAATGGTACTGAGTTCGAGTTCCGGAAGGAACATCAATTCTGGGATGCAGTCACATTCAGCTGACGAGTCCAAAATAGGACGAAACGTGACTCCAACTGGATTCCACTGCTTGCCACCATCCATCTTTGTTTCAGCTTGAATTTAATCGATTTATCTGTATAAGTAGATGATTTCTTGAAATAGGAGCATAGCGTTGAAGCCATTCCTGGAAGTATTCAATCCTCCTCCTGTTCTTCTTATAACAATATCATCTGAGAACTGGATTAAGAGTTGAATCATAAAATCAATTATTGTTATTTGAAGAAACCAAACCTGATTTATCTTTATTCACTTTTATCCTCAATAAGCCTATTAGAACTAGGGGACTATCTAGAATAACTAATGATGTATAAATTTACAAAGAAAAAAAATGTATAAAATTACTTTCATGCTGTGAAATGCTGGTACATAAATAAGAATGTTATTTGTCCCTTTGATCAACAGTTTGTACTAAACCTAATGTGAATAAGTTTATATTGTTTAGCTATTTTGTTATTTCATAATCATAATCATTTCATCACTAAGTACACTTACTTTATCGATCATTAAAATATTTTGATAAAAGGTATTTTATTCAATTCGATGTATTGTATGATTTCAGCTTGCCCTCCGACAGGTCATCCGTATCGGCGTCATGCTTAGTGTGGAGACTCGATCAACATGAGTACCCATACGCCAGAACATTCGATCCCACGAAATTTCGCACCCTGGACTTCAGGTAGTTAGATTACAGGCTGACGCCACGATGCCCAACATCTGAAAGGAAACATTAGATACAGTGGACAGCCAGGACGCAGCTGGACGATCTAGACTTCGCAGATGATCTGGCTCTTCTATCCCAAACGCAACAACAAATGCAGGAGAAGATGACCAGTATAGCAGCAGCCTCAGCAGCAATAGGTCTTAATATACACAAAGGGAAAAACAAAATTCTCCGATACAACACAGCATTTAACAATCCAGTCACAATTGACGGAGAAGATTTGGAAGATGTAAATCTTTTACATATTTGGGCAGCATCATTGATGAACACGGTGGATCTGATGCAGATGTGAAGGCGCAGATCGGAAAAGGAAGAACAGCATATCTACAACTGAAGAACATCTGGAACTCAAAACAACTCTCTGTCAACCAACACCAAGGTCAGGAATTTCAATACGAATATCAAGACAGTTCTAGTGTTCGGGACGGAAACTTGGAGAACTACGAAAGCCATCATCCAGAAGATACAAGTGTTTATTAACAGTTGTCTACTCAAAATACTTCGGATCCGTTGACCGGACACTATTAGCAACAACCTACTGTAAGAGAGAACAAACCAGATCCCAGTGGAGGAAGAAATCAGAAAGAAGCGCTGGAAGTGGATAGGACACACATTGAGGAAAGCACCCAACTGTGTCACAAGGCGAGCCCTTATCACTTGAAATCCTCAAGGTCAAAGAGGAAAAGGAAGACCAAAGAACACATCGCGTCGAGAAACGGAGGCAGACGTGAGAAAAGTGTACAATAATTGGATAGAACTGGAAAGGAAGGCCGAGGATAGTATGGGTTGGAGAATACTGGTCGCAGGCCTATAATCCATAGGGATTAACAGGCGTAAGCAAGTAAGTATTGTATGGTTTCAATTCGACATAAAGATAGTTAAAATCATGGACTAACTCCAGGCAAACAGTCATTGAACTGACCATTGACTGACTACTGATTAGAGTCCAGAATCATATTTGTCTAGTGTCGATCAAATTCATTTGATCACGGTGACATGTGGCCAATAATATAAATGACTGAATATCGCGTGCTTCATGTTTAAATGTTGGGTGGTTGAAAGATAGTTGATAAGAAACGCTGATAATCTTAAGTTTACTACAAGTTAGTGCCCAACAATATAACTCACATATTGTGGAATTCAGATAAGGGTCATCCAGCTCTCAGTTTGAGTTCTGGACCACGAGTGACCTCATATAGAAGTGAGATATTTGAAATTTACCATTCCCAGACAAATTCATTTCTTGCGAGTGTTAACTAGCGTGAAACTTAGGTCTAATCACTTCAGTCACCTAGTATTATCTTTTGTCTTCGTAACAGAATCGTCGACAATGCGCATATTCGTCACCCTTAAAGGGTAAGAGGGTATTGATCATGATCAGTTACTTGGAGATTATTAAGTTAAAATCTATTGTCTCATATTTTGAACTTTAAATTAATTCATGACATCGTGCTACCGTTATCGATTGTTGTGAGTGAGTACTATTTCATTCAGAAATCTTTAAACCTACTCAGTTACAACTTCTCATTAAAACTTTAGGAATTCTTCATAGTCAGACAAAATGGAACAAATGATTTTTGTTGGGATGAGAAAAAGTACTTGACTACTCGCTTAACAGCTAACGCCTTACACAATTATGGGGTGTAAGATATTTATTCACTATGGGAATTAAGAGATAATTGCGCGCACCACTCAATCTCGAATCATAGATCTAGAGTTTAAGCACTCGCGTTGAGACTGACAATCCCGTGATATCATAGATCCACGCTAATAAGCAACTACATGCTTAGAACGAAACAGCTATCCACTACATCCTAGTTATCAATAGTTGTCTAACAAGTAGGTCATTGCATGAAATATACTAATGAAACTCTTATATTCAACCTGTTTGTTGTATAGTAGTTTCTGCATTTGGATGTTCACTCTCTTATAACTAATTATTAGTGAGACTATAATTTAAGGACGACCTTTGGGCGACACCAGACTGACCTTGAGAGTGTCCATCTAATAACCAGGACCAAATGAATGTTATAAACCTGCGTGAGGAATTAGAATTATGATTTAAAGTTAATGGTTAGGGTGAGAAATTAGATTTCGGGTTTTCATTACGAACTGACATCAGCTATAATGTAAAAACTCTATTTATCCGAATGAATGAGTGAATTTCGCACCAAAATCTGAGACCTGTTATCTTATATCTGTTTGGTTCATTCATAAATTATAGTTTACCCCCTTATTATTAAATAATTGAATCGAAAGTGAAGATAACACACAACCGACTGATGTTAGACTACCATTGAAAACCTGGAAGCGATGGACTATCATTTCTTCTTTTCGTGGGACTCTTCAGTAGTGCGCGTTCACGATCCCGCTTAAGAGATTCGAACACAGGGCCTTCAATCTCACGCGCGAACGCTTAATCTCTAGACTACTGAGCCAGCATCCAACCGTGTTAATGTCTAACCTCAACGAATCCACGAAATTGCACGATCATCTTCTATTGTACTAAGTTAGATACCTGTCTCTATCCGACACGGATTAGCCTCACTGATCATGGTTTTTCACTAGAACTCCGAGAATTTTCTCACAAAGCTATTCACTTATGAGTATATGGTTATGAAGACAGGTATCTACGTCAGTGGGATGAAAAACGGTCCTCCAAATTCCATGGATTACTCGAGGTTTTCAATCTCTTATAACTTATTATTAAATAATTGAATCGAAAGTGAAGATAACACACATAAAAAGAAAAACTTAAATACAATTGTCTATTGCACCGATTCATTTCATTCAGTACAAACTTTAGATAACATAATATGATTAGGGATCTATCTATACAATACACCTATACAAATAAATCTTTTATTGAGTAAACAAACAAACAAACAAACAAACAATCGCAAATAGAAACAAATAAACGAGTCCTATGAACTAATAATGCACCATTGACAACTAAATTTACTAGGGTGAGTGTGTGTTTATCTATATTTATATCTATGAATAGATGAATGCTTTCTATTGGTTTGATCATACTCATCATTATTTAAACTAGAATCAATTTTATGCAAAATAGTGACATGAATTTTGATTAGAAAGTTGTTCAAAGTTCAATTTTGTTTGTGGTTGTTTTTTCTTCTTTCGATTCATTCATTCATTCATTCAAAGTAATAAATTACTTTGTAAAAAGTAGTAGCTTAGATACAATGATGTATCCATATCCATGTTTTTTTACCCTTTCTCTTCTTATATATCGTTCGAATCCGATGAAATCAACCTGCTCATTTCAACATTGAGTAACATACTACTGATTTCAATAAATATTTGTATATATATATACATACTGAAGTCTATCTATATATGCCGATCATGTCTTTAAGACATGTATCTCCAAGAAGCAAAGCACCACCACCACCACCATCATCTCTACAACAATCAAACAGTATCTCATCTGAAAGAGATTACAATTATCATACTAAACATTCATATGATCTATACAATACTACTAATAATACTACTAATCATTATTATCTGATTGATAAACCATATAAACATAACAAATCTAAATATAACAATGTTTATCTATCTCATAATAAATTATTCGATATATTAAATGTTACAAATGATAGAAGAAATCATCAATTCTTAAAACAGACTACATCGAAATTGGATACTTCTATAGATACCTATTCAATCCCATCTAAATTGCGTTCAATGCAGAATTACGGCGCAAGTGTTTCATCGGTCAATAATTGTACTACCAATACTACCACTACGACTACTACGACTACTACTACTACTATTACCAATACTACTACTAATAATAGTAATAATATGAGTAAGGAATCATTTGAAAATTCAAATTTAAAAAATCGATATTCTAAATCAATTCATTGCCAATCACCTATTATACATGTACGAAATCATATGCATCATATTAGTAACCATAGTAACAATAATAATAATAATAATAATGGTACTATTAATCATAATCGATTAAATGATGGATTTAATTTCCTTAAACATGTTCATAAATCAAAAAAATATTTAAATATACGTCAATATTCAATCAATAATTCATATGATGATGTAATCAATTTGAATAAATTAACTGATTCGAATCATTATTTATGTTCGGTAAGTGAGTTCGTTTGTTACAATGATATAATGGTTGTTATCAGTATAGAATTGTGGAGATTATGAAACGATTGATGTTAGACCATCAATGAGAACCTGAAAGCATTAAACTATGCGCTCACCAATGAGGGAATTCTCGGAGTTCTAGTGAGAAACCGTAACCAGTGGAGCTAATCTGTGTCGGATAGAGACAGCTATCTATCTTAGTACAATGGAAGATGATCTTGCGATTTCGTGGATTAGTTGGGGTTAGACATTAACACAGTTGGATGCTGGCTCAGTGGCCTAGCGATTAAGCGTTCGCGCGCGAGACTGAAGGCTCTGTGTTCGAATCCGTTGGGTGGGATCGTGGATGTGCACTTCTATGGATTCCCACAATAGGAAGAATCAGCCGTCTAATGCTTCCAGGTTTTCAATGGTAGTCTAACACCAATCGATCCATGATCTCAATAATGTTTGTTATTGATTTGTTTGTTCTTTTTTTTGTTTTGTTTGTTTTGATATAGACGGAAGAAAATCTTTGTCTAGATGTATTCTGTATGTTTGTTTAATAATTGATTATTCCTTTTGTATGAGTTATTGTTGATAAATTCATGAAATTGATGAGACTGTTTTCTTGTATTTCTTTTTAAATGACTGTTGTTATGGGATCAATATGAAGTACTCATGATATCTTCTTTATTACAATGGTGGTTTTGTCGAGATTGTAGTAATTGTAATAGTCGAATACACGATTCGATTTAAAATAGGCCATCATTAAAGACTTGGAATCATTGGAAGAACGTTGCGTTCTAGTATAGAACTTCTCACCATTGCGTACCTAAGATCCTGCATGAGGGATCATTGGTCTCGCGTGAGAGCACCTAACGTCTAGATCATTGATCCGGTATCTGACGGTGTTAATGTCCCATACTAGGACAAGACGATCGTCTAGTGCTTCAAGGTTTTCAATGGTAGCCTAGCTTAGATCGACTCATGAATTTAACTCTTACAATTACCACAAAACTCCTATTCTAATAATAATCATCATGTACTAACTAGTGACTGGCTTCAAGATGGATTTCTTGGAGTTCTAGTGAGAAGCTGTTACTAGTAGAGTTTAATCCGTGTTGAGTAGAGATAGGTATCTACCTGAGACAGTGGATGAACGGTTGCACGAAAAGGTCTTTATTGATTAATTTTTTCAATCCACAACAGGTACCAAGTTATTTCTGTTTTCCTACTAATCCAGGAAAATACATGCAGAATTCTTGTGACTAATTATTTAGAGAGTATTGTATAATAATCGCCAATAAATCTCTGATAATTAGGTTGAAATTTAAGTTGATCCATTTTGAGTGCTACTTTGTAACTGAAATAGTGTATTCAATGGTTGAAGATGATCAACTGGAAACCTTGCTTGATGTATTGTAAGCAAAGATTGACGGTAACTGGCAATGGGATCCGGGACGCGCGTTTCGTTCTATTTCGTATTCACCAACTAGATGTACTTGCATCAAGGAGTTTAAATTCACTCCGGACCTCAAATCCAGTACCGTTCACTTCAAACACCATTATGTTATCCACTTAGCTATCTTTCAGATCGCCACTAGCTTGTACAATTGAGTGAAGTTTTAATTTGTTTTTGTATTGCTTGTTTGAATCTTCCCATTGATGTTTATAACTGCAATTAATCATCCTCTATCGGTATATGTACATCCTGTACGGATCGTTTCGATATCGCGTTAATCCACAAGCGTAATAAGCAAAGATGGATGATGGCTAGCAGTGGAATCCATGACGCACGTTTCGTCCTATATGGGACTCGTCAAGTGGATGTACCTGCAATATCGAGGCAATCCGCAACATTACAGAGCCGTGATAAGTGGAGTCAAACCGTGTCTGTTATGAGGCAGTTACTCACTGAAGACAGTGGTGGATAGTGGTGCAATATCGTGGATTGGTTGAAGTTAGACATTAGTATCGTTGGACGCCGGCTCAGTGCTCTAGAGGTAAAGCGTTCATGCGTGAGACCGGATGTCGTAGGGTCGAGTCTCTTTGGAATGAGATCGTGGATGCGCACTACTGAAGAGTCCCATGCTAGGACGAAATGACCGTCCATTGCTTTCAGGTTTTCTATGGTGGTTTAACGTAAATCGACTGATGAATCCAACTATTCTGATGATATAGAAATAACAAATCTTATATATATGTCCTTGAAATGCAAACATTCTCCAATGATTATTTAACGTAATAAAGTGTAGAAATAGATGTCTAACTAACTATTCTTAAAACAAATACAGATAGTTACGCAATATGACAAATCGATTGATATTATATATGGATGCTATTGTTTGCTTACTTAATAGTTGAAATCCTCGTCGTAAGATCTACAGATTCTGAATTCTTTCCCTTCATGAGGTCGTGAATGTAAAACGATGATGTTTCTCATAATCCCTTGAAGAGTAAACTTCAATGTATACATCATGAAGTCTCTAGAATCTCAACGTCACTCGTGTACATCTAAATACCCTTTACTTCCCCTTGATCAAACTCATTTTGAAAACAAGGCTTAATTAATATTTCTGTCATCTTTAAATCAGAGTTACATAATCGTACAGTTTTAGAAGACTGTAAATGACTTAGCGTATCTCCAGTGTATTCAGTATTCAATAAGTGTGTTTATCCAATTTTTTCCAATAAATTTCCTGTTCATTTAAAAGGTGGGTGATGAATTTCGAAGTGTGATTTTCGGTGATCAGTCAGTCAGTCAGCTACAACGCAGGACCAGGCACATAAATGCATCGGTCCAAGTTGCCATACCTCGTTAGCACAACAAGATGGACACCGGATTCATAGAAGTAGTTAATTCAGAGGTGGTAATATATAAAAGAAAGATCTTATATAAGGATATAGTACAGGAAGAAAGAATTAGTTCGTAGAAAGGAATATATAAGGCGATTTTGGTCTCTTAGTTTAAGGGAAGATAGAGAGTGTATACACCGACGCCATTGTGATCGATTCTGAGCCATATCACCAAGAGTCTCCAACAACTGGTTACGATAGTCACGCGGACTCCAGCCAAGTAGTCTGCATCTACCAACATGGCTCAGACTAGAAATTAGTGACTTCACTGACTGATGCCACGTTTTGGTTTTGCCACCCCTAATTTCCTTCCAACCATCCCGAACACCGGTTAACATTGCACGTCGTGGTAATCGGTGTTCGGGCATACGTAACACGTGGCCCAACCATCTCAGTCGATGAAGATTCACAACCTCACACCTCCAATTAAACATCCAGAGTTACCCGTACGTGTCTATTATCAACATGTACACTGTAGCATTACTCAACGGAAAAAAAACCCAGAAATGCGGTGAATGTTGGGATTGTTCATGAAATCCTAACTGGAAATCCCACTTCAATATTCAGCATTCATCTACTAAAAAGACTGAAGAATGGTCTCAACTGTCATTATACTGATTCTGCCAAACTTCTATTGATGATTATTGACTTTCCTTTCCTGTTTATAAATTAAACAAAGGTTTTACACCTAAATTTACTACTACTACCATAGTGAAAAAAAGACCTGGTGAGGAGTAACATTTTATTGTTTCATTCAACGCTAATGAATTGCTTTGTAAAACATGAAAATAATACATCCAAGACATCATTTGTACATCTCCCTTCATTTATCTTTTACATAGTTAATCATTCTTCTAGTCTTTTTGTTATTTCAGTTTCTCTCTGTTTTCTTTCCTCCTCTCTATATTTCAATTACTTACAGATAAACATTCCAATTTCATTTCTTGTTATATACTACTTATATCTGTCCTTATAAGTAGAATACAACGGAATAATAATTTAACTACTACTACTAATACTACTACTACTACTACTACTACTACTACTACTACTACTACTACTACTACTACTACTACTACTACTACTACTACTACTACTACTACTACTACTACTACTACTACTACTACTACTACTACTACTACTACTACTACTACTACTACTACTACTACTACTACTACTACTACTACTACTACTACTACTACTACTACTACTACTACTACTACTACTACTACTACTACTACTACTACTACTACTACTACTACTACTACTACTACTACTACTACTACTACTACTACTACTACTACTACTACTACTACTACTACTACTACTACTACTACTACTACTACTACTACTACTACTACTACTACTACTACTACTACTACTACTACTACTACTACTACTACTACTACTACTACTACTACTACTACTACTACTACTACTACTACTACTACTACTACTACTACTACTACTACTACTACTACTACTACTACTACTACTACTACTACTACTACTACTACTACTACTACTACTACTACTACTACTACTACTACTACTACTACTACTACTACTACTACTACTACTACTACTACTACTACTACTACTACTACTACTACTACTACTACTACTACTACTACTACTACTACTACTACTACTACTACTACTTGTTGATTTGTTTTTACATTGTAAGTGTTATTGATAGAATGAATGATGTAATCACTATGGTATCGTTTATTCGAAAGTTGAACTATCAATCAACATATAAAACATATTGATTTTGAAATAACCATTTCTGAGATTATGTTTTGCAGCTTATTGAATTTGTATTTGTATATCTTCTGTTTTTTTATCTCAATTACTTTTAGCTGTATACTGAAGTGTATATGTATATGAGACTTGTATACACTATAATACAATGGGATTTTGAGGTATAGCAACTTGAACCGACGTATATATATATGTATATGCTTGGTCCTACGTTGTAGCTGACTGACTGACTCACTGTCTGTCAGCGGGATTTCATGCACGCATACTGTCGTTACTAGGTAACTGATAACAGAAAAAAATGTTGCGATAATTATAGATTAGAGGATTGATTGTCTTTAATTATATGTGTAATCATTTGTATTTATGTTAAGTAAAGATTCATTGAATGATTT